TTCAGGGTGATGAACTAACCGAGTATCGCCCAAGGCTATGATAGGTAGCTATAATTTGTCCACTAGTACTCCTAGTTCATAGAACCTATTTTCCAGACTGCGAGTACTTGTATATAGACCTCCTAAAGTGAATAACCTACACATACAAGCCTTGGTAGACTTGATTCCAAGACTATACCACTCAAAAGTCCATTACCTGGAGGGTTTCTTAAAAAGTTTAATGACGACTTTCTTTTTTACACAACGCCTCGTTCCTTTTCATCCAATATTCTAAGGATATGTCAGGTCTCATGCAAATTTTGGTGTTATCGTGACTTCGGGCCGCGGTTAACAAGCATTCGTTATTTATCCCACCCTAGGACTACGCTAAGAGGATAATATGGTTGAGTTTCAACATTTCCTTCGATCCCCTTACCTATTCCTATCGATTCATTGATTTGAACTCCCGTGGAGTTATCTGGTAAGATGCTACGAACCAGTGCTCCTACCTTTTCTAAGTCATGAACGTGTCTGGTTTCTGAATCAGAGTCGTCAGATTCAAGTAAATTACTTACAGTCATACTTGATGTGAGCAAGCTCTTTCAAGGCGCGCTACGATTAAGTCTAGTATCACTTTAAAACTCTGGTGGTGTGTCTCGAACCCCAAAATCGGAGCCTACCGAAGACCTGTCGACCAAACGATTGCTGTTTATGGCCACTTCTTTCTATTCTTTGTTTCCACTCTGCCATTCATTTCCCGTTACTTAGGACAGCCACACAGGGACGACTTGAGACGGCATGGGTTTTGTCCTGGTCTTCAAGAGCTGCTTTGGAATCGTAACCACCGATATCCAGTGGTACTTTACTCTTTATCTGTTATAAAGAGGATTTTCCCTTCCATGTTCCATAGTCGGATGACTGGTTCGTGCCGTGATAGTGAATACTGCTTTGACACATTCTTCACTTTCATTACTCTTGTTACCGGTGCAACCACCATCAGCTTTCCCGCTGGAAGGCCTATCACCTTATGGATCAGTAATGTCTTATTCTAATAGGAAAACACAAGAAGCCGATAAGAGTCAGGCTTCGAGGATCTTTTATATGCTGTAGGACTAAGTCAGGTTCACACCTTGTGAAACCACTTTTTACACCCATCACATTACATTCTTTCCTCCTTAGGGAAACAAATTTTGGTTGTCCACCTTTATAAGTACAACCGACCACTTGAAGAGAGAAAGCCCGAAGAAAAATGCTCAGGATAACTACTATAATGTGGATGAACTCAACATACAGTGCCACAGAGCAGATTTGGACATAATTTCAAACTTCAACCGGAATAATTCAAGTTAAAGTAGACCAAGTATGCTTTGATACAATAAATACTCAGAAGCAGGTTGATTCGCATCAGATGCAAAATCACTGCCCTTCAAAAAAGTGTGCGTTGATTTGAACAACGAAAACGCGTGGTCGCTGCTACATAGCTGTATGATGACATGTATCTGCAGAAGTAGTTACATTGGTAAAACAGGAAGAAAAACCTACATCAGATTAGAAGAATGTATTCCGAAACATTCAGAGGCGCCATCTCGAGACGTTACCTTGATACAGGATGCACTTAAGGCTTTCAGCGTGACCGATTCATAGTTGAACCCCTATATCCAGAAATTTGCCGGAGCAATAACGATCAAACGTCTAAAACCAGATGTGTCTAAAAAGGAGCAGTAATAAATCATCTTTTGCCCTAATAACATTACATCCTTTTTACTCCATCACTCATTATTTCAACTCTTTGTCACACTTCCTAACTTACTACATTCTCTCATATGGAGCCTCTGACTTCATTTCACTCTAACAAGAGATAATATGAATTTAATCTAACTTATTATACCTCTGTCTGTTCTACTACAAAATGTTAAGCAAAGTTTGGCGTTGATATTCAATCGCCTTGCTGCTATTTTGTTTATCTTTTTGCTTTCCTTAGAGTCTTGCTCTGAGGGCACAGCTATGGAACTTCTGACGTCTGGAACAGACTTGACGTACGTGTCTCCTCATGGTCATAGTTTACAGCAAGCGCTCTACTAGTCTACTTTATAACAACTATAAACTTAATAAGTTGGGAAGCATGCTGTGAGCCAACAAATGTTGTTATTCATAGATCATACCTGTAAAAATGGTGTGTACCTGCTCATACAGAAATATATTATAATTATTTCAATTTATACCTTTATTTATTACAATTAATCTGGTTTCAAATGTTTCATTACGCAATCATCTAATGTCTGTTATCTTTTTGAGTTTTAATCACTACTTCAATGTTCTGGATTATTCCTTCTCAAACTTATCAATTGGTCCGAAAAAGAAAATTTATGATCTTACTGACCCTACCGAGTAATCCTATTCAGGCAAAGCTAGACAATTCGCTAAAAATGAGGCCTGTACATGACTCTGGAAAATCCCTAAAAATTAAAATGAACTGAAAGAGCTATGGGATTTAATTTGTTCTACAGATATACTACTAGAACTATAAACGCGATACTGGCGATCCCATAGTTTATATGAACGCCATGGTCAGAACAAGGACACCTTGGCATTAAATTTTGTCTGTTTGTGCCGACCAGTATTGCGTGTCTTATCGAAATGAATAAAAATTATGGGTCACAACAAAATAATGGGATAATAATATTATTCACCTGGTAGGTCACATGCAACAGGAACAGTCTGCAGACACAACAGACCAGACTGACACAACGATTTGATTGGTTAGATGTGGATGTAACTAACAAAGGCTTATTTTTTGATTGAGATCATGAACCGATTGATGTTAAACCATCGGTTAAAACCTGGGAGCACTGGATGGCCGTTTCGTCTTATTGTAGGACTTCTCAGCAGCGCGCATCCGCGATCCTGCCCGCGGGATTCAAACCCAGGGCCTTCAGTCTCGCGCGAGAACACTTAACCTACTAGACCACTGAGCCGGCATCCAATGGTGTTAATGTCTAACCTCAATCACTACACGAAGTTGAGCGACCATATTCCATTGTGCTGAGATCGACACCTGTTTTTACCCGACACGGATTAGCTCCAATGATCACGGTTTCTCACCAGAACCCCGGGAATTTTCTCACGAAGCTAGTCACTAGCGGGCACGAGCGCGATAGTGAAGGACCCGGGTTCGAATCCCGCGAGCAGGATCGTGGATGAGCACTACTGAGGAGCCCCCCAAAAGGACAGAAGGGCCTTCCAGTGATTCTAGGTTTTCAATGGTAGCCTAACATCAATCGGTCCATGATTAAGTAATCATACCTTAACCTTTCCACTATCTACATTCCCATGTGAGAAGTGTTACACCTCATAATTCTATGGACAATGCACCTTATGAAGTATCAACCTAACGGAGTAACCTAATACGGTGAAGACTGTATCTTCTGTAACAACTTGGTTTTCCCCTTAAGCTGACATGCCTCGTGTAACAGACTGTTATTTGAGAATAAATTATTTCTGTTATAATTAATCCCTTTGTAATCTTCTCTACGTCACGATACACATTTTCATCTTTAATGACCTTAGTATGTCAATATCTGCAATAGTCTTGATCTTAAATATTATAGGTTATAAGCGGCTGATGTTAACCTAACGAAATCAAATGAATTGATATTATCCTGCGCTAATCTTTATTTTTGTTTTCTTTTAGAAAATTCATCTTATGTTCTATGAGTAATTATTGAGCCCGACGTAGATATATGATTTATATTGAAACGGTGGACAGGTCTATGCGATTTATGCCAAGCCCAATAAAACACAGTATTAGGCTACAGCTACTTCCTATACAGCACCTAGTGTAATCTAAAGTGAACTGGTCAATCGAAAGTCACTTTTATACTTTTGCCCATCGACTTCCGTGACCGTTTGTCTGAGACTTTTATGCCATAACACTTCGAGCCTTTGACGATTCTATGAAGACCTCCACACGAAATAACTTCGTAGTCAACCTTACCTGCAAGTGATTCGCCTACTTGGGGGACTCCGTTTTTCACGTCCACCATCAGGGACTTCTCAGTTGAATTCGTACCACCATTCCCGTAGTCGTCCTTGCAATAATCACATGGGTTTTACTATTTATAAGCGAATTTTTACTTCTGCTTTCAGCAACTTGAATGACATTTCGAATCAGCAATATCTGGCTTAAACACCAAAATATGCAGAGGCAGTAAGATCTAGGCTAGGGAGGTTCTTAAATGCACCATGTTAATTAAGTAGACGTCGTATGGTAGGATTCGCTACAAATATCACATGGAATTCTAACCGTACTAGGGAACAAATCCCACCGCTCACACATATGAGCAAAGTTGATCGCTAGAAGTTTGCAAAAAAGTTCATCCTGTGGAAAGACTTAGTCAAAATAATAATATAAACTGCGTGAAGTTCAGCACAATGACAGAAATGATCAATTAAATATCTAAGCATTTTCAAAAAGCAACGTAAAAGATCTCTAAAAGTTTTAACTCTAAACGAAACAATCCCAGGCAAAGATAAGAAAATATGCACGGAAGAGCTAATACACGAATTCAAAAATCACAGCTTTTTTAAAACTGACTTTATGTTCTCTGGCGACTGATTTAATATTCTTAACTTCGTTATTGCTTGTTATTTTTTTATCAGTCGCTACTACATTCTTTAGATTGTTTATTCAGCCCGTCAAAGTGAAGCAAAGCTTCGGTGAATGAATAACCCAACTCGAATTTTTCTCCGCCAAATCAAACAGGTAAATAAGATTCTTGGTATGTCTTTTTCCTATGCAGTTCCAAACTTTTCATTACTCCGTCCTCATTCATTTTTACAAATAAGAGAGGTATTCATTGGGCAATTGAAGCTTCTAACATACAGGAATGTCTTTTCTTTTTGCACGCTTGATACTAAGTAGGCCACGACCACAGTGAAGAACTACGAAATCGAACAGTCTAGGGGTTCAATTGATCCGTTATTTGTTCATGCTATTTTGGTTACATTGCGCTCGGACGCAAGGATTTGATTTACTTGTAGGTCCGGCGGGTTTTACTGATCTCAAGCTATAAGGTATGGCGTGATAAAATGATCTTTTGTATTTCAACTTTCAAGTCCTGTGTAATCTTTTCATTAGTTCAATAGAACCATTCTACTTGTTACTAGCTATTTATATCCTCATCAATTGTTACTCTAACGATACAAAGCTAAACGTTGGTTCTGAATTAAGCTGAAAATAATGGAAATAAGTGGTTTTAAAGTGCAAAACGACTATGGTATATCAGGTTTTAAAAGCAAAATATAGGCAGATAATATGTGTAACATGGATGTCAAATGTAAGTGGAAAAGTAATATTTAGTAAAACGATAATGACTTGTTGTGCAAACATACTGTTTAGTCTACAAGTTACCTGGTAGATGAACTTCGTTCATTTCCCACGGTTCAAAAGTCTAAAGACCGTTGAGCTATGTTACAAAACGATGGAGAGGTTATGCAATGGCATTTCAGATAGCGGAGTTGAAGTACCTTAAATGCTTTGAAAGTATGCCACGTAAAAGTGATGCTATCAGTTACTAGTTTTGGTATGATACGAGTTTGGGTTTCTGACCGATTTCAAGTTCACCATAATCTTTATGATTGTGAAAACACGACAAATTAAATATTTAAGAGACAAAGTAAATAGTTAGTAACAAAATGAGTTGAAAAAATTCAAACGTTCAGAATTTGTTGGCATATCGAATTTCTGGTTCAGGTCTAGTATATAGCATAAGTATTTAGAACACCAATAAGAATTCGAACTATATACTAAATCAAGTGACTTGTGTGACGCATATGTATTCGGTGCCCCTTTGTACCAATATTTATGTGTTCAAATGAATAAGTAAACTAAGTCACAAGAATTATTTTGAATATCCTTTGTTTCTATTATATGTGTTTCAACCAAGCTGTCCCATGCCGGTAAGTCACCACGATTTTGTGGTGTTAGAAATGTGAATTGCCTAAAACCACGCTTCACGACCTAAAACGAACAGATTCATCGATCACGTCTTAACTAGCAATTCACTGAAATACAGTGGACACCATGTCAAAATCTCTACATTCGGCGAGTATAAGTTACTCATCGTATAATGAAGAGACGGTTTCAGGTCTTCCTCAGCTTCCATTGCAATATGTTTAGCCAGTTGACCTCTTTGTAACAGGCTTTGGATTCCTTAGTTTACCAGAATCAGTAGTGATAAAATAGCAGAAATAACGAGACGGAAACATAAAACCATTGAGTCTATAGATCAGGCTTTTTAAAAGAGAAAAACTGAAGGACACCAGTGAGTGAAATTGCAGATTCCTACATCCGTTTATTTCTTTTTCAGCTCAGTACGGTGACAGGAATACTGTTATCTGTCGGGCAATTGCTGCTGTATACTGACTAAGTGATAAATAAATCCTAGTTTACAGGTCATCACTGTTCATTCAATGAATTTTGATTGTCCAAAGTGAGTATATTCAATTGGCTAGGTATCCTACATAAAGTGTAAAACATTAGCAACAGTAGAAAAGTGCACTTCTAGACTTCTAGAGTAGGTGCTAATTTCTGAAAACTATCTGGAGCCGTCTAGTTTTATTTAAATCAATTGGTGACTAAGTAGTTTATTTGAATTGGTTGTTTAGATCTCTCCATAAATGTTTACGACCTCAATTGTTTAGAATTTTTTTGGCATATGTGCATTCTGTGAAGATTGCCTCATAATTACCACAAGCATTTTTTATGTAATGATGGATAGTAACTAACAGTAGAATTCAGGACACGCGTTTGATCCTATTTGGAACTCGCCATTTGGATGTACCAGCATCCCCGAGTTCACTTGCAGTTCTAAATATCAGTTGCGAAATTCAAACAACCGACACAAACAAATTAGACTTCATCCCATTACATGAGTCAATGGCTATCTGGACTCAGTAGCTAAGTGGATACCGTAGTGACATTTGGAGCGACAGGTACTGGGTTCGAGTCCCGGGGTAAACAACTTCGGGATGCAGGTACGTCCAGGTGACGAGTCCGTAATAGGATGAAACGCGCGTCCTGACTTCCACTACTAGCCACCACCCATCTCTGTCTAGAGTGATGACTAGGTAGTTATCAGGTTTACTCTTCAACTGTTGTTTCTACTATGGATAGGGATTTTTTTATTTGTAATGAGGGACATTCGAAGATTATTAGATTAATAGGTACAGGGCTAATCGACAGATGATACACAATAGTACAACGTGGCAAAGTAATAACTTCATGATTCAGAACCATTGGCTTAAGTTCCCAATAAACTGACACCAGAAGACAGAACAGATACGCAGTGTAGTAGGTTTCTTCCGATGAAGTAACATGTTTATACACAAAATCTTAGTAAAAAGATGATTGTGATTATGTATCACATAGTTGGAGGATATCGACTTTGTAGGTCTGTTCATCTGCAATAAATTAAGACCTAACTATTGGGACTAACTTTTGTCTCGACATATGTAGTCGGAATAAACCATTTGGTTACAGTCACCTAATAAACTTGCCGGCTATTTTGTTGCACAGTTACGAAGTAACAAGTACCATGAGCATACCACAAATGTAGTTTTATATTTAAGTGAAACAAACTGATACTAACATATCTGTAATTTCTGTTTATACACTTATTAATTGTAGTCCGGAGAATGTCAAAAATGAACTGTACCTAAAGCTTTTATTATTATAAAAGGTCAAGCGTTTTATACTGAGTGTTCATTAGTGCTAAGTGGCTGTGGTGTCCAAGACGGTTGAGCCTTTTGGAAGGACTTTGAAGGTATTTGCTATAACTCAAAAAACCATTTACATATCTTTGTGCTTTGATGTAGACTTCATTCTTTGCTCTGAACTTTCAGCCATTGAATTTCAAACTCAAACCTTTGTGGGCTTAAGTGGTTTGGGTGCCCAGGCAGTATTTCAGCCCTCATACAAATCTAATGACAAAGTGTGGCGCATATATATTTTGTGCTTCTTTGTATCAATGTTTGTGTGTTTAAATAAAATAAATAGTCGGTTAGTATCACTAGTCACCATCTATAAATTAAATACATTACACACGGACCCATACGTAGCTACTTAGTGACAAAACACTCAGCTTTTATAACTGTTCATTCGTAATGTTTAAAAATGTAATCTTATTTTATAAATTTCTGTATTGTTTTTTATTGGTTTAAATAATAGTTGCATACTTACATTCTATCTCTATTTGCTTCAACAGGTTTTATTTACACGTTCTGCATGATTCAGAAAATGAGTTATTTATTCTTATTTTTGTCTGGTTGGATATAATTTCCTGTTTTCCAATGTATTAGCTACTCATTCTCATGCCTACTCCACATTTATCAAGAGCAACATCAGGACCGTCTTCTGGCTATGCCGTAGGTGATGAGATTTGTGATACTTCATGTCCGATTGATTGGGATACAAATGTAGTAAATTTTATATCAACTTGCTTGCATCCTGGTCTAGTTCGACGAACTTCATCTAGTGCAACGTATGGCTTTGATAAACCGAATCATTTTAGACGTCAGCATCGCCGAAATTTATCTACAGCTACAACAGTTGGATTCGGTCGTTATCCTGATAATCAAATTACAAGTGGTCGAGTTCCATATGCTAATGTTTTCAATCATCCAAATGATTATCAAGCCCCTCCACCATATTATTCTAAACGTATTTTAGGCCATGCTCGCAATATCAGCGATCCTACATCTGGTTGGGATTTCCGTATTGTCACAAAACCTCTTATTCTTGACCAGTTAACTGAAAGACCATCTTATAATTGGGATGGTTCTGCCGAACAAAATCTTGTGGTGTCAGGTGAATATAAGATTCCGAATACTTCATTCATTCCTGAAAATAAACCCGAAGCTTATCCTTGTCTAACACCTCCACGTTCATCTAATGATATTACATTAGAAAATTCGTTTATATGTGCGCGTGATGCAGAAACTCATGAGACAACTACAACTGCAGAAGATAATACTTCTTGTTTATGCCCTTGTCTACAAACCTGTGCTAATCCACGTGTTGTATTAATCGGATTATGTTTAACTATGTTTATGCAAACTATGGTTGTATCTGGTCTGATGAGTAGTATGTTTACTACATTGGAAAGAAGATTTAATTTAACTAGTCGACAAATTGGCTCTATGATAAGTTGTTATGAAGTAGCCGGTGTCATAACCACAGTGATTGTTAGCTTTATTAGCGGTCAGAAACATAATCGATTACGTGTTATTGGTTTGGCGACATTGATCCTGGCTCTTGGATTTGGATTATTTGCATTGCCTCACTTTTTAGCTGGTCCCTACAGACCAAACTTACCAACTACTCCTGATGGTAATACTGCTACTAGTATTAGTACTGAAGATATCATCCATTCCTCTCTGTCGTCTTTTCCTCTTAATCAAGACTTAGAAAATTCAATTCAGTTGGATGGACCACTATGTGTCGATCAATCGCGCAATACCTTTCCTAAGAATGTTATTTCCAATTCACTTAATAATCAAACTAGTGTCGGTGACACAATTATTCGTGCTGCCCCACTCACTGCTGCTGATAATTTTAATAGTAATGATATTAATGAATCATCAAGCACAGGATTTATGGGAAGTGGTGACATTGTTCAGTCTGTTCTCTTTCCAACTTTTTGTTTTGCAATGCTGCTAGCCGGGATCGGGGCTAGTCCTTTGTATGTCTTAGCTCCAACTTACTTATGGGATAACTTAACAGATAGACAATATCCAATATATGCAGGTATGCAATGTATTCTTTTATTTTGCATCGATTTATATATTTAAGTGAAAAATCTATGATTTACTTATATATAAATCTAGATTTCACTCAGTTTGCGAGTAGTATTGGTAAATAATTCCTATAATTATTAGGTCGTAGTTTCAAACTCCATTTTGGATACCTTGGTTTGAAAACCAGTTGTCATCACTAGTTTGTCACATGAAAAGTATGGCGTGTAATAGACCTCACGAATATGTACTTTGTTACTAAGTTACATTACTTTTCTGTTAGCTGACAAGGATAAAATCTCATTTCATCAAAACTGGTTTTATATCATTTTATATGTTGATCATTCCCCGAATTAGGTGCATACTCATCAGAGTTGACTTTCAGTATTTAATATTAATCATTGTAACAAATATCACAGTAAAGGATAAACATCTTTCCAATACAGATCGATCGTTCTCTAGAATACGATCCAGTATTTGAGATAGCGAAGCTGATTTTATATCAAGTTCGAAATTGCTGACTTATCAGGTATAGTGTTGCCAAAATTGTCCACAAAATGAATTTGTTCTCTGCTTTATAGTTTCTTTTATTTCTTCATAATATATTGGAGTATAACTATAAACATTTTCAGACCAGGTATATATATACATACAATAAACAGTACGTTATACTATGTTGTTACAATGAATATATATGCTTACTTCTACAATGCTTGAAATCACTTTATATTTACACTGCTATCTGTACACATATATTATCATACACACTAGTAAAATATGGCAACCTAGATCAGATTCATTCATTGCCATACCACTTTGATAAATACATAGTCGTGGTTGTTGTCATCTTTCAACTCGTGTTAACCATAAAAATATTCTACCAATTTATGATAATGATACTGATAATACTACTACTAATAATAATAAGTAAAAATATAGATTTCCGTTTATTATTTTTGTAATTTAATTCAATGGAGAATGACAGTTAGCTAGATCTTTAATAATAATTCATCTTTGTATATGTAAATTCTTTCTGGAGTTTAGACAGATATATATCACTTGTATATTCAATTAACCATAAAGTCCAATCAAATAATTACTTGCTTGATAATGACGGATAACTAGTGTTTAATTTTGTAAAGTAATGGTAAATAAAAGTCAAATAGAGGTGGAAATTATCACTTATAAGATTCTAAATCTGACATTAATGTGATTTTCATAAGATTTGATGCGAACTCATGTATACAAACCGAGCAATGTAGGGCATCACTCTTACCTCTTACTAATATACTAAAAGGAATGTATGAAAACGTGGGAAGAATTAATTTTACACTAGTTAAAATTCCTTAGATAAATTTCACTGTTAGGAAGAAGAGTAGAAATAGTCAGCCTATGAAATAATATTGTAATATAAAGTATAGTTGTTGAGTGTGTCGACCGCTTCACTTATCTTGGAAGTCTCATCAGCCATTGTGGTCTGGTGTGTGACGAAATCTCAGCACGGATACAGAAGGCTCGACTAACTTTTGCCAACTTGCGTCATTTATGGCGTAGGCGAGATATCCGTCTATCAACCAAAGGACGTGTTTACTGCGCAGCAGTTCGTTCCGTCCTACTTTATGGCAGTGAAACATGGCCGGTAAGAGTAGAGGATATTCGTAGGTTACTAGTATTCGATCATAGGTGTCTTCGAAACATTGTTCGTGTATCATGGGACCATCGAGTAAGTAACGCAGTTGTTAGGAAACGGGTTCTAGGTAAGGATGTCAAATCAATCGATGAAGTAGTGAAACTTCATCAGTTGAGATGGCTGGGACACGTGTTACGTATGCCCAACGACCGACTACCTCGACGTGCTATGTTCAGTGTTATAGGAGTAGGTTGGAAGAAAGTTAGAGGCGGCCAGACCAAAACATGGCACAAATCCATGAAGTCACTGAAAAGTGGACTGAGTCATGTTAGTAGGTGTAGACTACCTGGTTGGGGACCATGTGATGATAGCAACCGATGGTTAGAGACCCTGAATGACATGGCTCAAAATCGTTTGCAATGGTGCAGGTGCATCCACTCTTTGTGTTCTCCCAAATTCTAATCTTTTGAATTCTTCATGTCCCTTTTTTCCTTATTCCAAATTTATTTCCCTGGATTATACTCTTTAAATAACATCTCCAAACCCTAATCTTTCCGATTACTGCTTATACTCTTGCTACCTCTACCACTACGGGATTTGAATCGACAACTGCATCTCTGTGCTAATGTGGTGTGGCAACTCGAACTGATGTACGTACGTACGAAGTTCTACGTTGTTACTGACTGACTGACTTACTTACTTACGTCTGTTACTCCTAATGGAACATAGGTCACCGACCAGCATTCTCCAACCCACTCTGTCCTGGGCCTTCTTTTCTAGTTCCATTCAATTCTTGTTCATTTTTCTCATGTCTATCTCCATTTCCCAGCGTGATGTGTTCTTTGGTCTTCCTCTTTTCCTTAACTGCTTGGGCTGAAATTATTAGAGATCATGTAACTGTGACTAACTTGAAATACTTGAATATAATTTAAAATGAAAGTCATATGATTAAGTGGTGGAAACTTTCTGAATAAACATTATATGAATAATTTTCACTTTGATTACATCATCTGTCATTTGTTCTTTTGTATTACTATGCTTTTTATGTTGATTCATTTGCTTACCAAGTTTTCGCTTAAACTAAACAAAATGGGATGATGTAATATGTAAGATTTAGCATTATAAGATGAATAAAATCATATTCAAATGAATCAAATTCCATTATATCATTTAGAATCATTTGAAATTCTCACCTACATCAAATCTCGAATAATTGACCTCCTACCCTACATTGATTTAGGTAATCTAATCAATCATAACAACAATAAAAAAATAGTGATTAAGTCAAAACTAAATCTTTATTACAGAATGATGTTTTGTTTATGTGTTAATGTTTCATGTCAAAATGTATCTACCACTGCTAGAAAAACTATCAAGGTTCATAGTCAAGTTTTTCATATTCATCAACATTATGTGTGAATTGTACATCTTGTCCATGGCTATTTGAACGGAGATATTTACCTTCTAATAACATTGAGTAATAGTTTCAGTGATTTATTTTGAACTCTATCGAAATTATTTTAAATAGAATTTCATTTGTATTTCTATGTATTCCTTCTAGTTCTAACAATTCATATTATTTTCAATACCTAATGTATAATAAATGGTCCACCAGGGTGCTTAGTACATGTGTGGTTGCGCCACAGGATTGAGCTGTACTATTCAGATTGTGTAGCGGCTCCGTAAGAACTCGGAAGGGTAGGGACACACATCGTGGCCTTTTCGTCGTTTCTGCCTACGCTCCCACTGACTGCAGCTCAGATGATGTGAAAGATTAATTTTACAGAAAGCTTTCTGAACTTCTTCAGAAAGCTAGACGCTCAGATATAGTACTCGTAGGGGGTGACTTTAATGCTCAGATAGGTAGCTTAAACCAAACAGAAAGGCATTTAGGTGGATATTTTAGCATTCCGTCACAGCGAACAGATAATGGTGACCGTCTGCTGCAACTGTGCTCAGACAATCGCTTATTTTTAGTAAACACAAATTTTAAGCATAAGGAGAGATATCGTCTAACATGGGGCCCCCCTACACCAAACCAACGATGGACTCAAATAGACTATATTGCCATCAGTCATCGTTGGAGAGGGTCGGTAGAAGATTGTCGCTCATTCTGGAGTACCTGCTTGGACTCCGACCACGCCCTAATACGGGCACGCATCTGCTTGCGCCTCACTGGACGCAAAAAAGCCACATTAAAAAGACCCATTAGAACTGAGCTGAGTAACGAGAAAACCAAAAATAGGTTCCAAGAACAACTGAGTTCACAATTAGGTAGTTCTGAAGACGAGGCTGACCCAGATGTTGCTTGGAAAGACATATAAGCAGCTGTGGAAACAGCAGTGACATCTATTAGCGACTTAAACCACAGAGTTACAAAGAACCAGTGGATTTCTTCAAAGTCTATCACACTGATGGATCCGTCTATCAATAAAAGGACGAGTATGCTGCGCGGCAGTCCGTTCTGTTTTAAATTACGGCAGCGAAACATGGCCATTAAGAGTAGAAAACACTCGTAAGCTACTAGTATATGACCACAGATGTCTTAGAAATATCGCTGGCGTCTGCTGGGATCACCGGGTAAGTAATAGTGAGGTTAGACGCAGGGTATTAGGAAATGATGGTAAATCAGTTGATGAGGTTATGAATCTTCATCGACTGAGATGGTTGGGCCACGTGTTACGTATGCCTGAATACCGATTACCACGACGTGCAATGCTAACCGTTATTGGAGATGGTTGGAAGAAAGTCAGGGGCGGCCAAACTAAAACGTGGCATCAGTGCTTGAAGTCATTAACTTCTAGTCTGAGCCATGTTGGTAGATGCAGACTACTTGGTTGGGGTCCGCGTGACTATCGTAACCAATGGTTGGAGACTCTTGGTGACATGGCTCAGAATCGATCACAATGGCGTCGGTGTATACACTCCCTATCTTCCCTTAAACTAAAAGATTTAAATCGCTTCATACCTTTCTTTCCACGAACCAATTTTTTCTTCTTGTACTATATCTCTATATGCAATCTTTCTTTTATATATTACCACCTTTGACCTAACCACTGCTATGAATCCGGTGTTCATCTTGTGTGCTGATGCGGTATGGCAACCTGGACCGATGCACATATGTGCCTGGTCCTACGTTGTAGCTGACTGACTGAATAAAGCCATTAGAAATCACAATGATAATAATTTGGTCAGTGGAATTCAATTTTCACTTAAGAGTTAGATAATCATCACATTAGTCACTACTCAGTGATTAATCAGTTATAAATATCTCAGTCCTACAAGCGGTCATTTGCTACCTAAGTAGCTCAAGGGTAATATCTTAGACTGTGAAGATGGGCGACACCGGATCTAATCCACCAGGGAACATTCGTTCCCTCAAA